GGAAACGGAAGATTTCTTAGAGAAGATGGCACCACTATGATCTACTTATGGGAAAGAGACGGCCTTACTTCAGGAATTTTTGAGTGGTGAGATAAAACGAACTCAGCGGAGTGCATGCTGTGCCAGAAAAATGGTCTTTAGATCATTATGTTAGGAGTGTGTGTGTGTGTGTGTGTGTGTGTCTGTGTTGGTACAGGGAATAGGGTGAATATGCAGATATAGAATACCCAAGACATAGTCAATGGTACAGCTTCATATAGAGACAATGTTTTCTCTAGAAATCAAAGCCCTAGGATACAAACAAACTATGAGAATTAAAGTGTACAAGAGAATGGGTAACATATGCCATCAAAAGAAAGCCTGGCTGCTCTAGAGGAAAGCCCCATAAAGCCACTTAAACACGAGCAAGCTGATGAATTGGTGCTTGTGGTGGATGGTATGACTTGCCCACAACTGATTGTTCACTCCTTACCCTTGCCATGACTTCCCTGTCCCAGTGGCTCTGATCTTGAACATGGCTTGCTTTGGCCAATGGGATGTAAGCCATTTTGCTGTGAACACAGGTTGAAATATGCCAGTGCGGTTTGGTGTGGCTAATACACATCTAGCATCTCCCATGGGAAGAGCATGCCCTAGATATCTCTTTATCAGAGTGACTCACATGTGGAAGATCCCAGAACTTTATCTGAAGCAGAGACATGTCAGTCAGCCCACAGTCCTGTCCATAGGTAAAAAGTTACAGATACGTTAATCATTAAGAACCACTGGGATTTGGGGAGCTTTTTATGATGTAGTATTACTGCAGAAAACAAATACAGCTAATGAAATACACTTTTGAGCAAATATTCTTGTTTCATTGTATTCCTTTAGAAAAGAGGATGAGTGTTCCGGCACGGAAAAGGTAAGAAGGTGTTCCACTGGTGGCAGTGCCTAGCTTAGATATTTCACACAGCAATTCAGAAAAGTTCAGAATTACCTACACCAACATTTCCTTAGCAGCCACTGAGTCTGATTTTTGAGAGTACCATTTTTAAAGTTCAGTCTTTGGAATCAGCTTTCCTTGGTTGGAACCTTTATTCTGCCACTTTCCCACTAAGAAAACCTTGGGAAAATTACCTGACTTTTCTTTCTCATTTGCATATAAAATAGTATTTCCTTTATGACACATGCTGTGTCTCTTTTGTGCTGTCATGACGTTTTAGTAGCCCTGGGATAATGACACCCTGAAGAAGTGCCTGGATTTCCACTCCTGGGTTGGGATTTTTTTTTTTTAGATGGAGTCTCAGTCTGTCACCAGGCTGGAGTGCAGTGGTGCAGTCCTCTGCCTCCCGGGTTCAAGCGATTCTCCTGCCTCAGCCTCTCAAGTAGCTGAGATTACAGGCGCACGCCACAACACCCAGCTAATTTTTCTAGTTTTAGTAGAGACAGGTTTTCACCATGTTGGCCAGAATGATCTCAATCTCCTGACCTCATGATTTGCCCTCCTTAGCCTCCCAAAGTGCTGGGATTAACGGCGTAAGCCACAGCACCCTGCCGACTGGGTTGGGGTTTCAAGGGCCTAAGAAATGGTTTTCAGTATCTTCTTTGATTATTTATTTATTTTTACCTTTATTTTTAAAGAGACAGTGTCTCATGTTGCTCATGCTGGTCTTGAACTCCTGGGCTCAGGCAATCCTCCCACCTCTGCCTCCTGAAGTGCTAGGATTACAGGCATGAGCCACCAGGCCCAGCCAATTATTTACACTTACTGAATAAACAATGCTAAAATCAAGTGACATCTAGTTGACCACTTAAGAAGACCAGTCTCTGAGATTAATTTTGGACTGTTGCTGATTTGGAAACTGCAAAGAAGAGAATGTGGCTGTAGCTTTTTTAAATGGAATTTCCTCTGGCAAATATTCTCTTGAATTGCATAGCAGTATTTAATTCGCAAAATGTCAGAAAGAAATAGTGTTAGCTCACTTGGCCCTCCAGAAAAAACTGTTTTGTCTAAGATCAGGTATCTTAATGACAGAGGCTTTTTATTAATATATATTCCTAGGCAGTGCAGCCACGTGTAGCCACTATAGAGGAAGGTTATGTTTCAGAAATATGAGTGTCTTATAATAAAGATATTTTCTTCTTGAGGCACTATTCCTAAAATATATGCTGGGTAATCCATGATCCACTAAATCCATGAGGTAATGGGTCTGAGATAGATGCCATAAACCACACCAATTTCCTGATGAGAAAACTCGAGGTGGATTTTTATATTTCTTTGCATGTCAAGGGTAGTTGGGAGGACTGAAGTTGACTTTTTTTCATTTTTCTCCCTTTTTTCCACAAAATAGACAAAGTAAACTCTACCCATATTTCAGAAGAAAAAGTTGTTTGCTAAAAAATCCTTCTGCATAAAAAAGAAGCGACAATTTCATAGTTTGAAATGTGGCAAAATAGGTTGTGATAATCCCCACAACACAGGCACACATTTAGATCATTCACTTAAGTTCTCATCTATTATTTCAATTACAGAAATGACAAAAATTGTTCACTTTGATGGAAAAATGCAATGATAAATATCAAGACCAATTAATTTCAACATAAATTATGTTTTCCTTAGAAAGAGTCATGCCTTTGCCAATTTCTTCTGGAGCCACAAGTGAGGTTACTTAAGAAGCAAATACATAAACATGCACATGTATACTCCAAGAACCTTAATAACCAACTGGCCGAAGCTTTTCATTCTGTAGCTGATTAGGCAGAGAGCCGAAGTATTTAACTGCCATCTATGATAGTTCTAATTAAGTTCTAAACAGTTCTGAAATAAGTCCACAGATTTTCATAAGCTCCACTCAAACAGTGGAGCCCAATTTCCCATCCTTGAGGGTAGAGCAGATTTAGTAACTTAATAATATTTTCAAAAAATAGAACATGGCAGAATGTGCAGTACAGGGCTTGTGAGACTAGGTCATAAATCGCATGGCAGCTTCTCCCTGCTCTCTCTGGGATAGCTTGGTCTGGGAGTAGCCAGCTGCCATGTCCCTGTCAACAGAGAATTCTAACAGGACCCCAAGCTTCAGACTCATTACCACATGGATTTTATGAATCATGGATTACCCAGTAAATATTTTAGGAACATTTGCCTCATGAAGAAAACATCTTTAACATAAGAAAGTCATATTTCTGAAACATAAGCTTCCTATTGGCTACATGTAGCTGCTTCTAACAGGGCCCCAAACTTCCTACCCCTTGGTGTGCAGGCCCTGCCCCATGAGTGTGGGCGGGACATATAAATATGACCCGACAGGCATGAACAAATAACCTTATATGGAAAAGGTAAAGAAACAGTTACCCCATGATTGCGTTATGTTATGTAACACTGCCATAGCAGACTAGAAAGAGATTCTCTTGCAGCCTTTGGAGAAGTAACTTGCCATGCTGTGAGAGGGCTTCATGCTAGAACCTGAGGACAGCTTCTAGGCTCTGAGAGAGATGCCTGGCCAACAATCAGCTAGGAAAAAGGGACCTCATTTCTACAATCATAAGGAACTAAATTTGACAAACAACTGGAGTGAACTTGGAGAGGGATCCTGAGCCTCAGTGAGAACATAGCCCAGCCAATGTCCTGATTTCAGCCTCAGAAGAAACTCTCAGCAGAGGCCCCCATCTAACCTATGCCCTGACTCCTGACTCATGGAAACTGTGAGATAATAGATGTGTGTTCATTTGGGTCATTACATTTGTAGTAGTTTGTTATAGAGTAATACAAACTAACACTGAAAGGCATTGAGGCCTTCTGCCAATAACCAGCACCGTATGAATTAACCATCTTGCAAAGGGATCCTCTAACCCCCATCAAGCTCTCAAGGACTGCAGTGCTGGCTGATGTCTGAACTGGAATCTCATGAGAGACTCTAAGCCAGAACTGCAACACTAGGCTGCTGTATACATCCTGTTTGGTTAAAAATATATTTTATAATGTTTTAACATCATCAGTGACCTAGCAGGCAGGATAAACTCCTCCTCCTATGGCTAGCAAATTCAGAGATAGTAAACCTGTGATCACAAATGCATATTTCCTATGTGAATCAGCCAATCTCAATCTCAAGTCCACACTGCCAACCACCTGCTTTGTGTGACTCACAGACCAAGCCAGTATTTTCCTGCCTAAATCAACACAAAGCCAGGACGGTAGCACACAACTGGAGACCATGCTACAGAACAGAACCTGCCCTTATTCAAATCAGTCAGTGCTCTACTCTATCTCTGACCAGCTTTGCCTTTTCCACAGAAAACACAATAAAGACTCTGAACCATGTTTCTCTTCCCTTCTTTCCTCTGCCTCCTGACCAACTCTGGTGCTTGCCTATATGACCCTGTGTGGAGTGGCCTACCTACCTTCTCTGGGGAAATGCATTTTTCCTTTAATTAATAAACCTCCCTGTGCCATTATTCAATAAATTAAAATACTATGGATGCATTTTAACAAAGCTACTCCCTAATTTCTGATCCACAGAAATTATATAAAGTAAATATTTACCTCTATGTTAAGCTATAATTATTGGGATAATTTGTTACACAGCAGTATATGACTAATGCACCATCTTTGCCACTATCCATTGACAGGGCTACAAAAGTGAATCTAGGTTACTGATCCTCCTGCATGTAACATGAAGTAGCAAAAAGAGCACAGATTCTGACCTGAGACAGGGCTCAGTTTGAATCAAAACACTGCTGTCTACTTTCTCTTAGACTTGGTCAAGCTCCTTTTTCCTCAATAAACCTCAATTTCCTCATCTTTAAAATGGAAATAATACCAAAATCATTAGCATTCTATGAAATTTTTGAGAATTAAGCAAGAGAAAAGTTAAAAAGGGCTTTTCATGGAATTGGACTTCAGCAAATATTCGATCTCTATTTCTAATCTTGTGTTCTCCTTACCATCAGTATGACAACAAAATTAATCATCAGTTGCTAACACAAATAAATTTGGTGAGTCCCAAGATCTCTGACAGCCTTTCTCTGTATCAGCAACTAACATTTGAAGACAAGGGTAAAGGAATCAGAAGAAGGAAAAGCACAACAGACCAGTATGCATAGGGACAATGAGGCCACCATCACTCTCACCATCTTGAAGGGTTTCAGTGTCCTTTCGGTCTATTTTGTAATTCTTGGTTGCTGAAGTGAAGGGAGCCAGCTGTTTCAAATAGAGCCTGGGCGCCGTGCCAGAAAACCACTGTCAGAGAAAGAGGAAAACACAGTGTTCTCGTTCTATCTTATGCTTCTTATCTTTGCTAAGGCTCATATCTCTCCCTTGCTATCTTTTCCTCTCACTTTTATGAGAGATATGTAATAAAAATATGAACAAATGCCAGTTGGCCCACTAATATAGCCCTTCAGCTAATAAATCATGTCAACAAATATACAGCAAGGATGATTCTTAAGGTTTATATCTACTTGAGAAAAAAATTATGACATATTTAAAAGTTTAAAATCGTAAGATGAAGATATAGACAACTAGACCTCAACAAGGATAACGAAATCTCAGGTAAGTGCTTTAGATAGGCTATTGTGAGATGGACTGTACTCTCATGAAATAAAAATTCTGAAAAAAATCTTAAATTATAATGAAAATTTTGATATTCACATTTTTTAATGCTGGAAATATGGAAATAGTGAAACTCCACCCCATCCTATACCATATACAAAATCAGTTTTTCTCTTATGCTTTGTGCCATAAAAAAGTGTTTAAGCAAATGCTAAAAATGTTTTCTTTCATGTATTTTAGAAGCTTCATAGTTTTAAATTTAATGTTTAGACCCATGCTTCATTTCAACTTTTGTATATGGTGTAAATTAAGTACAAATATTCTATCGTTTCAGTACCATTTATTGAAAAGCTACTCTTTCTCCATTGATTTACTTGGGAAACACTGTCAAACACCAAATAACTATACCGTATATACATGTCTATTTTTGAACTCACTACTCTGTTTCACTTACCTACATGTCTGTTCTTATGCCAATACCCTAGCATCCTCATTACAGTAACTTGATCATGCTTTAAAATCAGGTAGTATGAGTGGTCCGTTTTGCCCTTCTTGTTAAAAATCACCTTTGCTCCCTATTGTTTTCGTCTTGTCATGTAAATTTAAGAATGAAATTGCCTATTAATTGTTACAAAAATTACATGTAAATGTTGATTGATATGTTTTGAATGTATATTTCACTGTGGGGTGAATAAAGAACCTAATAACATATAGACTCCCAGTCCATAAACACAGTGTATGTCTCCTTTAATTTCTCTCAGCAATATTTCAGAACTGTAAGGTAAATGTATCATACACATTCTATTTTTTTTTTTTTTTTGCCAATCAGTTTGAGCTTCTGAGGTTAGCCTTGAACTGATGACCTCGCCTTCGCGAGCGCCATGACCTCCGGCGGGAGCCACTTTGGACCCCACACATTCTATTAAAGTCATCCCTACACTATCATATTATGATGCGATCATAGCTGTTTTTAATTTCATTTTCCAATTTTTCATTGTTAATATACCGAAGTACGGTTTACTTTTATTTATAGACCTTGTACCCTGTGATATTACTAAACATCCTTATTCATTCTAGTAGCATGTTTGTGCAACTCAGATAGAAACGGTAGGAAAATGATTCATTACCCATAGTCCTTCAAGTCATTCACATATTTTTATCTACCTCTTCTTTCTACATTAAAATCATTAGAAGCGTTCATAAGAACTAGAACATGCCTGTTGAAAGAGAAGTTGCGGTCTGCTGTCTACCAGAGGAATATATGTTTGTTTTCTGGGAGACGCTTGGTTTGGGAAATCTGTTCTTGCTGTCAAATGCAGTTCTCGCTATATGCAAATAGAAATATGAACCTATTGCTCACTGCCTCCTGCGGTTCTGTGTGTCCCAGGAATGCCACTCTGCCTGCCAGCCTCCATCTGGCTTCTCAATTAGAGCCCAATAGGAAAACGGATTTTCTGTTGTTCTAATGAGAAGGCAATCAGTTATGTGCTTCTTTCCATCAGAACTTGATTTGGTTATAGAATAGTGTGATTTTTATTATTTCTATTTTAATGTTCCCCAGGCAATTTGGTGTTTATAATCTTTATTCTTCATGCCTATCTCTTATCCCCTAACACATTTATAGCCAATTTTCTGAATTATCAAAGTTGATAAAAGGAACAGTTATTTTTATATTGGGATTCTGAAAGAAAACCAGATAGTTTAATAAATACAGTGTTAAAAGTGCATTACCAGGACATAATAATATAAGTTGAACTCCTATAGTTGAACACCAGGGATAACTAGAGACAACATGCTAAAAAAATTGTTAACTGGTTGCCTGTATTACACTGTTCTCCTGCTGCATAAGGACATACGTGAGACTCGGTAATTTACAAAAGAAAGAGGTTTAAGTGACTCACAGTTCTGCAGGGCTGGGGAGACCTCAGGAAATTTACAATTATGGTGGAAGGAGAATCAAACACATCCTTCTTCACACGGCGGCAGGAAGAAGAATGAGTGCCCAGCAAAAGAGGAAGCCCCTTATAAAACCATCAGATCTAATGAGAACTAACTCACTGTCACAACAACAGCATGGGGGAAACTGCCCCACAATTTAATTATCTCCACCTGGTCTCTCCTACAACACGTGGGGATTATGGGAACTACAACTGGAGATAAAATTTGGGTGGGGACACCGCTGAACCATATCACTGCCAATGATCTTTCTTTTGTAAGCTTGTTCCAACAGGGCATAAAAGAAATGAGAGTTTGAGAACTAGTTGCACAATCCAAATCAATCATAATTAAATTAATGAAGATTCTGTGTTTCATTTTCTACTATGTTCTTTAGAATAGCTGCCAGACCTAAATATTAAAATAGTTATAACAGGATTTTCCTCTTTTTCTACCCAATGCCTATTGGGAAGATGAGGGCCTCAAGGATATTACTGTGAGGTGGGAACAGGTAGAGGAAAAGAATTTACTGACAGAAATGATTAATTCGTTTTTAACTAATTCGCAGCAATAAGATAATGTATGTTTTACTATGTCTTTCCCTCTGAAGGAAACCTTATACCGTAGCCTCTGAGACTGACAGACTTATGTTAGTAACCCAGAGCCTGGATCCAACAGGTAAAAATGAGATGGCGACATTCACTCAGGAGAACAGAAATGCACTGCCCATGTTACTATAAGACCCTATCTTTTTCTCAGACATAAGTGACCTCCATCTAGTTAGCTGTATGTCTAGATCTATACCTGATTATATAGTATCTACATATGGATAGACAGATAGATAAAATAAGCACACACAAATAGACATGCTTTTTCTTCAAGAATTAACTGTCTTACATATGAGCTGTGCCTAGACTAGGGGTATTTATACTTGCATGTATGTCTAATGAAACAAAAAAAATTATATCAGGTTAATGTGTATTTTTGATTAATAAAATGAATTAGATACCTCAATGATAGAACATCAAGCCACTCACTCATTATGGCTTCTCAATGGAATTTAATGAGAGTTAATCAAATGAAGTAATGCTCGTCATAATTTCAATAGCTAGTGTTTCTGCAGTTGAAAAAATAGCGTCATAATTCAGGAATCCAACAGCATTGGTCTTTGTAAAATGGTTTTGAAAGATGGGTCACAATACTTAAGATAGAAGCATACCTGAAAACAACTGCCTGTAGCTTTGAATCAGTAAGAAACAAGGACAAAATATGTGCAATAAATTGGTGCAGATGAACTGCTGAAAGCCATCTCCAGAGGGCAGTCAAAATAAAACAGCAGAACAGTTTCCTGAGCACCACGACAGAATCAGAACCAAAGACAGTTTTTTTTGAATTTGATAAAATAATTTGGTAAGAATTTAGTAAAATGCACAAAGCCAGGTACAGTGTGACTACAAAGCAATGAGACCTATTTAACCAATCTCGCATACAAGTGTGTTTCCATTCAGATGCTATAAACTGAAAGGTGTCAATGTTCTTAGGAATCTTTATGGCATCTGTGTATAAGCAGGCACTTTACTGGGATGTTGATTTGCTGTAGTCCCAGTTTCAAATGGAACTATTATGTATTTTTCAGTCAAGCTTAAAATAGGTCACACTGAAACTTTAATGAGAAGAAACTTCTCTCTAATGACTTCAAGTCCACTCTTCTAATCAAAGAACAGGAACAATTCTTTCCACCCAAACATTCAGATTCTTTCAGTTAATAAATCGATTACCCAGATGTTCTTCTCCGTATGAGGCCAAATCTTGGAACGGTACTAATTATTTTCTCATGCTCCACATCACACAGGCAAAACAGATGCATGTGGTAGTGCGTGGATACAGACTGTGAGCCTTAGATGATTTAAATAAACTTTGGGATTTCCTTCACTCAAATGAGTTTTAACATTTCTGAAATTCAGTTCTTTTGAATTCTATGATGATCTGTGACACCTGACTTTTACCTGAAGAAAAGGGCAGAGCCTGTATTTTGGTCATCTGCTGCCAGGTAAGTAACAGGGGAATATTCTTGGCAAGTCAAGCTCAGAAAGTCATGTCCAATCACATCTGATTATACTCAGGAAGTCTGGAATTTAAATGGTTTGGAAACTAATGTTGGCAATTAAATAATCAAATAAGTTGGCAAATTAACAATATCCTCTAAATTACCTCCTCAGGTAATTGTAACATTTATAATCAAATAAATTTGCCGAAAAGATTTCTGTATCTTTGCCTTTTGAGGCATATCTTAAAGTGAGGGCTCACCTGCTTTGATGAGTGAGAACAAGTCGTAGTCTATCAATTCTTTTCAATTTTTTGGTTCTAGGGCAGGTACCAAACCTTGCAGATTTCCGTTTTTGTATTTGATTTTAACTTTATTGATCTTTCCCTGCAAGCATTTCTACATATTTCTTAGTGAAAAGGAGGGATATTATGTTTTTTTTTAAAAAAAACGGATACAGGAATCATGAGGATTTACTTCAATAAGTTGCCTTCACCAAAACCCACTGATTATGCCTGTGGTCCCTGCTTTTCTTTAGTTTGATCACTTTTTCTATTTGCTTATAAAAACTACTGTATCTGTCAGAAACAGTACGGGGTTATCATCAGGACATTATTAAGATGTCAACTCTGCTGGTAGCAGTAACGTAACAAGGGTTCTGCCTCTTCAACGATACAGGAATCCTTGCCAGGAGAACAAGGCACTCTGC